TCTCCTTTGAAAGAAAAAAAATATTGTAAAGATTTAACGTAAACTGGACAGGATTCCTTTAGTGAACACAGCCATCTGTGTTCAATTATATTTTGTGTTTGTTTGCTGGCTACAATGATAATTCAGTGTATTTGAAATGAATTCAGAATGGTTCTGGAGTGGTTGACTGTGGATGAGGGATTCCTTCATGTCATCCTTCTGTGTGTGTACCTACTGTATGTGTGTTTCTGCCTTGTTTTTGCACTTTTAGCATAACCTATATCGGCATGGGACAGGGCACATATTTAACCTCTTAACCTCCTGCCCAGGTTTATGCCTTGCTTGAAAAATGAACGTGGATTTGATCTCACCCCTTCACCTCATCCCACCTCATCTTCAGGTTCAATGCTGATGACGCCAATAACAATATGAGATCAGAGGAGGATGGGATTATTCCTCCTCCAAGACTGTTCTGCCAAAAGACGCCAGGGCAGATCTCCTACACCCCACTCAGACCACTGGACCCAGCTGTGCCACACACACCCAAAATAACTAAACTCAAACTTTGGAAGGGATGCCAAACAATCGTCAGTCACCTTGACTCAATGCTACTTTATTTTAATTTTATTTTTTTGTACATAACCCTTTTACTTCCTCTTGTAATTTTATTTTAGAGTCACTGTGATTAACCGGTACCAGCAGATTACGATATATTCTAATTAAATTATAAATCTAAACTTTATCTATATGTGAAGATGACATGTACAGCTGAAGTGTTCAATGTTACTTAGTGCATCAGGTTGTGTATGCCCTCCATTGCAGGATGGTTTAATATGCAGACAAGTGTAAATGTGCCCGAACAGGCTGTTTGATCCATGCTGTTTAAAATGGTGATGCCTTGTTGGAAATGATTAGCAGAGTTGAGAAGTGGAAGAATATCTGATGTTTACTGTGTTCTTCTGTATAGTTCTTTAGATTCTAGGAGGTTGTTGAAGCATGATAATGCACCAGGCAACTTCCTAGCTCCCCTCTGTATGTGTGTGTATGTATGTATAAACATGTAATAACTTATTAATCTTGCAAATGTGGAATTCCTTGTTAGATGTTTTAATACAAGGGGAGGGAGGAAGCAATTACATGTGCTATAAAGTTAAACTGGTATGGTGGGGGTTGGTTTTAAGGAATAATACTTTTTTTTTTTTGTAGAAATTCAAACACAAGAAGACAGGAGGAAAAATATTTCTGCAATGTTCTAGTATTTCTTGGGGAAATAATAATGGTTATTATTATCATATTACTATTGAGCTATTCATTCAGAGCTCCTACGTTCACATTCAATAAGGTTTCTAATGCAACTAGGTACGCCTTAAAGAGTGACGCTCAGAATGTCCAGAGAGTACAGGACAGACAACATTGTCAGACTAGTTCATGTGAAGGCTTCTCTCTCAGACATTCTGCCTACCTGAAAGTGTAATGTACGGTAACTCAGCTTGGTGTCTTCATTTCCATTCTTCATGGTGGTTGGTAGCAGACAGTGACAGGTTGTCCTGTTTCCTGCAGGATAGACAGGTGTGTCTGCCACATGACAGACGCAGATGTAAGGTTGGTTCGTATGGGGTCTCTCCAGGGTCCGCTCTTCAATCCTCCAACTGACCGTCTGCGGCCCTAATTAAATTCAAAAGAAGACCTACAATAAGATGGGTTTAGGGACCCCAGGAAAGTGTCAAAAGGGTTATATGAAGACGATATGAAGTTTGTGTTTGGTTTTGCTAGGTTAATGGGATTTATTCTGTATAGCGCTGGTTAAGGACCAGCATCTCCAACCCTATTGAATCATAATCATTCGGTGCAGAAAAACATAACTTTCCACAATCATTTGGACAGGTATGAACCATCCTCCAAATCACACTCTGAGTGCACTTTGAAGCCCCATTTATGCATCACAGAAGGTATGTCTGGCACCTAACACAGAACGTTATGTCTGACACCTAACACAGAACGTATGTCTGACACCTAACACAGAACGTATGTCTGACACCTAACACAGAACGTTATGTCTGACACCTAACACAGAACGTATGTCTGACACCTAACACAGAACGTATGTCTGACACCTAACACAGAACGTATGTCTGACACCTAACACAGAACGTTATGTCTGACACCTAACACAGAACGTATGTCTGACACCTAACACAGAACGTTATGTCTGACACCTAACACAGAACGTATGTCTGACACCTAACACAGAACGTATGTCTGACACCTAACACAGAACGTTATGTCTGACACCTAACAACACATTGCAGATAGTAACAATTCAATAGGCCATTCACTCACCTGCTGTAGGCTACATCAGCTGGCAAATTATCTCCACCCAGCCAATAGTAAACCTGTAAGAAAGATCCCTGGTAGAGACATTGTGGTTGTTGCCTCCTCCCCTCCATGCTGTAAAAGCGGCGATAAATGACCAGCGGTTTCCTGTTATCCTCTTATTGGTTTGCCTTATATGTCATCGCAACATCCTTACAGGAAACCATGGTGTCAGTAAATGCCCTACTTACCACACAGAGCTGGAATGCCATCTCTTTGTTGCTGTTGGAGAAAGGGGTGTATTTCTGTGAGCATTACTATAGGGAAGACAGAATACAGTACATTATTACCAGTGGAACCACACATGAAGTCATATCCCCAGTGGAGGTTTACGGCAGGCCTGGGCCACACATCATGTCAGAACGGTAGCACACATTATGCACTCAGCTCAGCCAGTTAAAGAGCTGACTTTACCACAACCAGGCAGTGGCACACTGAGGGAATGTATTGTAAAACACAAAAACATGTTTTCAGTATGATGCCACCTCTAAACCTGTTCATTCTCTCACAAGAAAAGTACATTGAATAAATGTTGTTCATGTACTGTGAACTGGAGGACATGGCAATAAAGAATCCTCTGTACCTTTAGAAGTGTTTGGTGTGTCCATGCTATGATTCTCAATGTTTCTTTCTGAGGCCTCAGAAATGGCAGTGTTAGGAAGCTGATATCCCTTTGTTCAATATCCCATTGAGGATTGTTATTTTGATGCTATTCAGTGTAATAAAAAACAACATGTTGATAACAGTGTAACAACATGATTACATCAGATTACAAGTCCTGACTTGAGTGCATTATTAGTGCATTATTAGTTTTACTCTGTCTGGTTATTCAAATATGATACAACCCCTACTGCAGTGATCCAATAACTAGACCCTTCAGATCCTCCATTATATTTGCTGTGATCAGCATCATTCATGTAACTGATACAATCAGAAGTAGATATCGGACTCTGAGGCCCTTTCTATGGGTGACTGTACAGACTAGATATGAAGAGAATATTTCCAAAATGCTGTATCAACCAATTTTTCACATTTGTGTTTTTTTCATCAGAAATGATTGCTTATGGGGACCTTAATGTGTGTGTAAAATATTACTGTTCTCAGATTTTTTTTATTCATAGATTTTAGATGGGTATGAAAATGTGTGTTTTTGCAAAACACTATATATCCAGTGTTTAGCTGGAATGGAATGTTTGTATCTTGTATTTGACTGTGATATGTGGTTGTCTCACCTAGCTATCTTAAGATGAATGTACTTACTGTAAGTCACTCTGGATAAGAGCATCTGCTAAATGACAAAAATGTCAAATGTAAATGTTCTACATACAGATCTCATATTACTTTTCTTTTTGTCTTAAATATTGATGTCACAAATGTATCATTTGTACATTTATTTATACAAAATGTAGTTGTTCCATCTGACTGTGTAAAACCTAGCTTTTGCAAAAAAACATGATTATTTGTCTCTCTGAAATGAAACCATCAAGTGATAGATATAAACAAATACATTTCTGTCATTGAACAATCCCATGCCATGATTAGATAGTGAAAAAAACACACCAATCTCTTTCATAAGTTCTTTAAATAAATAAACGCTAATTTACTAACATTTCTGAAAATGGATATATAGTGTTTTGGAATGAAACTCTTCATATGGAAAGCCTTACAATCAGTCTGAGCAGTTTTACTGCATGTGAAACTAAGGTGACAGAGTGGTGTAATGACAATACGACTAAATAAAGGAAGGGAAATGTTTATTTAATGGAATTGACTATATATAGTCTCCTCATGCATGTGCACACACATATACATACACTCAGAGTAAACACTACAGAAAACAGAGGCTTGTGTTTGACGGTGTTCAATGTCTTCCCGCCCGAGTGCATACATTAAAGAAAGGCAAATACATTTTCCAAATCTCATTCCACACAAGTGTGATCCGTAACACACCAAGACAACATAACAAAAACCCTTCCCTGGACTGTGTCCCCAGGGAAACTTTCCTAAACACAAGCCGTGGTGAAGCTCTTTCTCTTCCCTGGCCTGACACCTGGAGAAGGGCTGATGACAACAATACAAGGGCTTATGTCTTTATTTGGGGTTGGTTCTGCGGGCAGAATCTTCACTAGGGGCCAGAGCAAAACGTGTCAGACATAGTTGTAGGGCTTAACGCAGGTTTGACTCACCGATGTTCTGTAAACATAGACAGCATGCACTGGTGTGTGTGTGTCTCTGTGTGTGTCAGATTGGTAGACAAGAGAGAGTGAGTGTGTTTCAGGTGATGTGTGTGTAGCATGAATGTGTGTGTGTGTGTGTGTGGGGGGGGGGAGACTCGACCTCTCTCCTTTTCAGATATAATGTCTGTGAAAAACCAGGCCAATTTTGCATTTTGCCAAACACATCACTCTTATTGTTTGACTACAGTAGCACAGTAGTATCCTAGGCCTAATATTGTCTATTGTAAATGTATAGCTCATGAAGAATTTCTATCACTATGTTCAGATGACAAATTATCACACTGGTTGCTTGAGGAAATAGGCTATCTTAGAAAATTGCCTAAGCACAGCCTGTTTGGATTTTGTTTTGTTGCACTCTATGAATTGAATGACGGCGAGCATGTCGCCGCCTAGTGGCTCCCACAAACGCAGCGCACAACACGACGACGGACACGACTTTAGAACCAGTGTGAATAGTGTCAAGGCAGAAAGACCGTACCGCTTGCCACCGCCTCAACTCTCGTGTTTGAACCTGATTCTGCTGTCGCCGACCTTTGAATCTGTCTACCGATCTGAAGGCTGTAAGTGCTGTCGTTCCTTCTCCATCCATCCACTCCTCATGTGTAATATTGTGTGATCTCAAGGCATGGATGTCACGGTGCGCCTTGGCAGAATAAAATATTGTAATCCGAATTGAGTAGGCTACAGTCTGCGAGGATTTAGCACTGGTTTACACAATCAGCTAACTTGACATTCAAGTTGCAGGGGAAAGTGTAGTCTAGTGCAATTAAGCTGTGGAAAGTGGAAACCGACCTGACCGTAACTGCAACCGATATGTTTTGACGGGTGAGGGTCCGACTTCGGAATGAAGGCGGCCGTACAGATTTGGAGACGGCGGCCCTTCCAGCGGTTCTGCTGTTGTGGAGTTGGCCTTCTCGCGGTCATTTGGCTCGCACAGGTCGCGCACGTGACAGGTGAGTTTTTCCACAAGGATTAATGATGTGTGCATTTTGCATAATGTAAATTAATGTATATTATTGCTTGTATATGTGTGGTGTTTTTAGCATCACATATTTTTACTATTCCTTTTAGAATTGATAACATTTTAGCACATTTTCATATCTTCACAGATTTTATTATAATACCCGAGGGGGAAAATTATCGATCTGTCAGCTCATTCACATTCTTAATTCATTCAATTTACAACTAAATACTGCCATCGGCTAAATATGCAAGATCATTTAATTTCTCGCAAAATAATCATTATATAACCATATTGATAGTAGGCTGTATTGGATGAAAGAGATAGATTTGGAACCAACAGATTGGATGATCTCCTCCCCTGTCCCATCCCCCAATATTCTGCAGCTAGAGTGTGCGTCACATTGAACTTTCAGCATTATTTTTTTACCAGGTAAATTGACTGAGAACACATTCTCATTTACAGCAATGACCTGGTGAATAGTTAAAGGGGATGATTAGGTGATCATGATGGTCAGATTGGGAATTTAGCCAGGACACCAGGGTTAACACTGTAAGTCGCTTTGGATAAAAGCATCTGCTAAATGGCATATTATTATTAACACCCCTACTCTGATGATAAGTGCCACGGGATCTTTAGTGACCACAGAGAGTCAGGACAGCCGTTCAACATTTCATCCAATAAACAGCACCCACAGGGCAATGTCCCCAATCACTGCCCTGGGATATTTTTCTTGTCTGTTTCTTTTTGACCAGAGGAAAGAGTGCCTCCTACTGGCCCTCCAACACTACTCCCCACAGCATCTGGTCTCCCATCCAAGGACCTACCAGGACCAACCCTGCTTATCTTCAGAGGCAAGCTAGCAGTGGGATGCAGGGTGGTATGCTGCTGGCATCACCTCCCTGTTCCAGCCTGGTATCCTCACAGGACCTCTAATTTCAGGCAATTACCTGCACAGAACCCCCTAGAGCTTCCTCTAGTCTAACCAATTACTCTGATGGAACCCAGAGAACACATATCCCTATCAAGCATTGCATTAAGTAACACTGAAGATAGATGATTGAAATTGCACTGAAGTGAAAAAATAGATATGCATATAAACTGTGCGTAAAGGGATGAGTGTATGAACAAAAGAGAACATTGACGGGATGCAGTTATTCATATCCTTTGTATGAACAGCACATGGTCAACATCTAGCCCAAGGGTACTCAACTCTTACCCTACGAGGTCCGGAGCCTGCTGGTTTATTGTTCTACCTGATAATTAATTGCACACACCTGGTGTTCCAGGTCTAATTCAGTCCCTGATTAGAGGGGAACAATGAAAAAATGCGGTGGAACTGGCTTGGAGGTCCAGAGTTGAGTTTGAGGGATCTAGCCAAAGGGGCTCTATTCTCTACAGACCTTGGTCTACTGCTCTAGGTCTCCTGGTTTCCTCTTGGAGGATGGATTCAAATACTCAGCTATGAAGCAACAGATGGTCAGGTACAATTCTTCAATCAGGAGGTGTGTGTGTGCGTGCGTGCGTGTGAGATTGTGTGGGCCAGTCCTGTGATTTTCAGGTTGAGAGAGTATGAGTTCATGTAATGATTCATAGATTAAGCTATGACACAAACCTTCTGACAACCAGTGTTCGGATGTTGTTCAAAATATCCTTTAATAGCTGTCATGTTCTTCAGTTTTCCCTACTAAACCTTCACTATCTCATAACTACCATCATGCCTTTAACCCATATCTTCATTAATAGGCCTAATCTTGGGAAAAAAATATGAGTAATTATTTAATGTATCTTTCTAATGGCAAATGGCAAGATGTGTATTACTGTTAAATGCATTCATTTGACATGTTCATCATACAGCATCATTCTAGTGGTAGGCCTACTAGTCGCTATAGTAGAGCAATTGTTCTTGAAGGCTGTTTCATTGATTGCCAGTTCCAGTTTAGTTTGAGGCGTGACCATACAGATGTATGATCTTAATTTGTGGCAGTTTGATACAGCACGAAAATCATCCTGCAGCAACAGGAAAATGTGAACTGTTATGTGGATTATAATGAATTTTTAAAAAATTGTAGGGGTTGATACATTTTTCCTTAGAGCAAATGAAGTCTGCAATTTTAAAGTGGAAATTATAAACTTTTGAAGCCTTTTTAAACCTTGAATGTACTACAAGTTTGGATTTCCTGCTGCGCAGGAAAATTCTCGGCAACAATGCCTACGATGCACCAGACAGCTCATCCTGAGGAGTGAACCCCACATCTTCAATAGAAAGAGACGTGACTCAGGCCAAAGTGTAGTCTTCGTCTGGGTCTGGGTTGGAGCCCTGTGTTCTGTGATGTGTGGTCGTGTTGTGAGTGTGATGATGGCGGCGCCGTCTGTGACAGAGGCCCATTTGAATTTCATATTACCCAGGTTCCTCTTGACGCCTCCACATGAAAGCCTCCGCATCCCCACTCTCAGGCCTAGTACAACACGCTCGTGAAACACGTTGATTGGAGTGTAAAGTAAAACAAAGCGGACAGTAATCATGAAACAGACTGGACACAGAGAGCGATCAAGCTATCTCTTAAACAACCGGAGTAGAGGGTAATGGCCCCCACCTGGCTGGCTCGGCTCTGTTCTGCTTGTCTCTGGTCTGCTCTGGTCTGCTCTGGTCTGCTCTAATCTTCTCTGGTCTGCTCGGGCTCTGGTCTGCTCTGGTCTGCTCTGCTCGGGCTCTGGTCTGCTCTGGTCTACTATGGTCTGCTCTGGAATGCTTTGGTCTGCTCTGGTCTGGTCTACTCTGCTCTGGTCTGCTCTGGACATAGATCTCAGTGAGTGGCAGCAGTTATCTCTCTGTGTTTCAGGAGACAATGACACAGATACAGTACATCAGTGGAGGTCCTCACTGTTGATGCTGTCCTTCCATATATAGTGGTTGAAAGCTGAAGTCCAAATAAAGAGATTGGCTATCAACAGAGAGATACAGAACAGGGATTTACACCGTGAGGAGATTGCAGTGCTGATATGATGAATGGCTTATGAGTGTGCTCATAAAAGATTACATGATCTCCTCTGCTGACCCTCTCCGGTTGCTTCCTCCAGCCTCTATAATAAGCTGTCCAAATGTATCTTTATCATCTGTCACATCTTTACTAAAACACAAGCCTTTGAATGTTGTGTCCAATAAGATAGTGTTTTGTCTTTGGACCGGTCTTTTGATGAGCCTACAAACCAGTTGACTTACATTTCAACAGAGCCGGAGTCGTCCGGGTCTCAGCTAGAAGAGGATGGTGTTCCAGTTCGTTCCAGACGCAGGCTGATGCAGGAGGAGTGGCCAGAAGACAACCAGACCCTGGACCTTCCTAGACCAGGTGAGTCAGCCTCACAGCCTCACAGCCCCAAACCTCTCTCCCACCTCAACCTCCACTGATGGCCCCTGATGCCCACCGATGGCCCCTGATCCCCATTCTAGACAAAAGTGTATGTTCCCTACCATGTCCTCTGGCATACAGCTTTAGATGATTGTCTCCTCAGAGAATAACAGCTGACAGGGACCATTCAAACTGTATAGTCTCTCTGTACTCAATAGTCTTCCCCTTAGCGTTAGCTGATTAAGTATAGATTCCATAGGAGCCCTACAAGTCCTGAAGACATATCGATGCACAAACTGTCTGTTGACTAAATATTTATTTCCCAAACTGTGTGGCACACTTGTGGGGGCTCCAGGAGGGTCTAAACTGTGTAGATGTGACTTGTGTGTTAATCTGTTTGTTTGTGTGTGTGTGTGTGTGTGTGTGTGTGTGTGTTTGGGGAAGGCGGTTAGTGAGGGTAGGCTGTGTGTATGCTGGTGAACCTTGGCTCTCCCCTGCGGGTTAACTGAAAAGGTCATGTGGGCCGAGGCAGCAGTGCAGTGCTTGTCAGGAATCTGTGCTCTGTAAACTGTGTGTCACAAACTTGGCTGCCCTGCCGGCAGAAAGGTTCTGTCTAGAGTGGTTAGAGCAGCATGCCAGACTTGTGCAATGGAAGAATCAAGGAAATATATAAACAGTAAGTAAACATGGTGGAGGACATGGGGGGGTTGAGAAGACAGCTAGGGAGGAGAGCTCTGCAGCAGGACAACAGGACTGAGCAATGCACAGTTAGTGATTTCAGTCTGCGAAATAAATTAATGAATTGCATTCGATACCATCTCCCCGAGGACACCTGCCACAATCATTCTAGTTGTGCGCTTGGCAGAGGAAACTATTAATGCAATATGTGTACCTACAACACCAATATAGCAAGCACTTGATGTGTGGTCTTTCTGTTACAAACAGACCTCCCTCAGTATCTTTGACAACGACACATCTCCCTTAAAGATGGGTCATATGGTAAATGCAGGTCGTAGAACAAGAGGCTGATGGATCTGTGGGCAGGTAGATTACATTAGCCCTTTCAGAGGGGCTGCACTACTCCTAGGCTACAGAGCTCAGGGCAGGCTACTCCTCTTTATCTGCACGTAAGTCCGCTCTTCTCTGCTCACTGTAACTGCTAATGATTACATAATCCAAACGGCCAGCTCGGACAGACCTCTAGGAATATTATCTTGGGGATAGCGTAAGGGAGGTTTCAGTACCTCCCCAATCCCTTATCTCCCGCGGTTTCCCCTCTATTGCTCTCTCTCACTTTATTTCTGTCTCTCTCTCTCTCTCGCTCTCTTTCTCTTTCTCTCAATCGCTCTCTCTCTTTCTCTCTCCATCCCCCCTCTGTGTAACAAGACGGAGACGGCAGCGTCTGCCTTCAGTCGACAACCCTTTGAGGCCAGCGTTGCTAAGCAACTGAATGCTACATTTTGAAACCCAGATAATTCTGTCTTTCAAGCATTCAAAGTACAGAGGCAGAATGAACAACCAGATCGAGCTAAAAATAGACCGGGAGGAGAAAATAAGCCCATGCATTTTAATAAGGGCTCTATTCAATCCGTATCGTAGAAGTTCAGCGTTACAGCGTGATTGACATTTAAAGGCAATGTTCCCGCCTCAGCAGAGACTGCATTCATAGTAAACGCTGCATATGTCTGCTCAATAGGAAATCATCTTTACATTTCTATCCCGCTATCTGCAACGCTTCGGCGATACAGATTGAAGAGCCCTAAGTGTCAATAACGATGGCTCGTATGTTTTTATGCATTTGTTTCGTTTTTTTCGGCAAGCAACAGAGCCAGTCGGTTGAGGATTATTTTTCCACAGAGATATTTTAGTGGTCGCAGGAGAGAACTGAAAAAGAGAATCTGGCAGATACTCTAACGATATTTCCTTTAAAAAGTCATTGAGTTTTGTCAGGGGAGTAATTTATTATGGCTGTCAAATAAAGCAAATGGCCACTAATGCGACCATTAAACATGGGAGTAGTTGTCTTTTTGTCTGAAGTCTTTGGAAATTGGGGAGAATATTCTTAGCTCCCGTCCCCTCTCTGGAACCCTTGTACTCTCTGCATTCACATTGGTTCCTGATGATAACTTAAAGGTCCTAGGTTAAGGATGGAGATCACTCACAGAAAGCTCTGTGTGTGGTTGAACATAAAACACGTTTTTAATATGTGGCTCACATCTACCCGTCTTCATTTCAGATAGGGTATGAGTGGTGGCTTTCAAATTGTTTTACTGCAGTAGTTTCCTTTGTTTCCCAGCACACCAACATAACATTGAGACTTGACGCTTTAAGATGATGGATAGTGCAGTGTGACTTGTCTGAAGAGGTGGAGTAATCTCCTGTGAGGGACTGAAGCTTATTGATTGTTTTCCTGAGGATTTCTCAAATTATTTCAGCTAGTGTTTTGTTAGATGAAGGATGGTTATTGAGTTTTGGTGAGATTTGTATGGCTGGATTGGCTTTTACTATTTTTGTTCTTGTCGGCCTTTCGTGACTATGTCATAAAATCAAAGAAAGACAATAAAAATATGTCCATTATTGAAATTTCATCACATGGAAGAAAGCAAATGTTTTGATTCGTCATAAAAATGCAAGGTTGTTGTAGTGAGGGCCTCCCAAGTGACGCTGCGGTCTAAGGCACTGCATCGCAGTGCTTGAGGCATCATTACAGCCCTGGGTTCGATCCCAGGCTGTGTCACAGCCGGCTGTGACTCGGAGACCCATGAGATGGCGCACAATTGACCCAGCGTCGTCTGGGTTAGGGGAGGGTTTGGCCGGCCGGGATTTCCTTGTCCCATCGCGCTCTAGCGACTCCTTGTGGCGGGCCGGGCGCCTGCAAGCTGAATCAGTTGCCAGTCGTACGGGTGTTTCCTCTGACATATTGGTGCGGCTGGCTTCCGGGTTTTAGCGAGCAGTGTGTCAAGAAGCAGTGCGGCTTGGCAGGGTCGTGTTTCGGAGGACGCATGGCTCTCGACCTTCGCCTCTCCCGAGTCCGAACGGGAGTTGCAGCGTGGGACAAGACTGTAACTACCAATTGGGGAGAAAAAGGGGTAAAAGTAAAAAAATCTATAACATCTCTTCCTCTCCTTCCCTCTGCCTGCCATTCGGTCACACTCTTAAATCCCTTGCAGCAGGTTCACTTTTAATCTGGACTGATATGACATTACCACACACTCAAGCATACCAATGGGTTCGCACACACGCACACACACACACACACACACACACACACACACAGATTACATCACATGTCCATTTTGACCCCTTCTCTAGATTCTTGATTGGATCAGCAATGAAATTAAATTAAATCAAGCCCATTCACAGATAAGATAACATCTAGTGTATCAGAGAGAGATCTATGCAGGTTGGCATTTATTGTCATGAATCTTGCCCTGGAGGCAGCTCTGCAGAGGGGTCACTAGCTGTCACAGCCACTAAGTCATAAAATCTGATTTAAACCTAACCCTAACCATAACCACACTGCTAACCCTAATGCCTAACCCTAAATGTCCTGTGTCCAGTATTGGAAGCCAAGCTCAGATATAGTAAATCATCTTACAGCTGGTCTAGTCAATCAGCAGTCCCATGCTGCATGCTGTGACAAAAGCCTAGTAAAGGGGAACAGAGGATGGGCATCCTCACAAATACAATTCCTGGCCAACACTGTATCGTATGTTTTTGCTCTCTCAGACCTCTCCTGAGGGTTGGCAAGGAAAAATTAATATTTTTAGAATTTAGCTCCAGAGCTGCCTGTTGTTTTATCTTTTTTCATAAGCCAAGACCATGTGAAACACACATTCCCCTCCCTCCCCCTTTCTCACCATTCACGCAGCCGTCATTGGCTTCCCACTGCCGCCCGTCAACAAACCACAGCCCCCAGGGAGAGGGTCTCCATGGCAACTGCTTTCACCGAAGCAACCCGTCAAAACGTTCATCTGAGCCGCATGTTTCAGCACGGCATTTACATAGACACGTTCAACTGGGGCCTTGTGTATTGGGGCTAGATGTCCTGGGGACCTTTCCAAAACACAGCTATAGGATAGAAGGACAACAGAAATGATAATAATACCACAACTAGAGAACAGATGTCCTCACACTGATAAGATGCAGATGTGTACCCACGTTCTTTAGTGAGATGCTGCCTCACTCTTTCTTATGATAATCTGAAAGAAAGTTGACATGCTAAGATGGGATGGTTTAGTGAACAGGTCCTGCCCCAGTGCAACAGCTGGCCAGAAAAGAAAATAAGCTCCTTTCCCCACAGTTCTCTGGACGAGCAGAGACAGAGAGAGGGACCCTCACCCTCTGAGTCTCAGATTCAGGATGTTGATTACATCACTAGATGTACATTAGATAACCATATGCTGTACACACACACACACACAGTATAGCCTATTCCCCCTCAGGAGACTGAAAAGATTTGGCATGGGTCCTCAGATCCTCAAAAAGCTCTACAGCTGCACCATTGAGAGCATCCTGACTGGTTGCATCACCGCCTGGTATGGCAACTGCTCGGCCTCCGACCGCAAGGCACTACATAGGGTAGTGCGTATGGCCCAGTACATCACTGGGGCCAAGCTTCCTGCCATGCAGGACCTCTATACCAGGCGGTGTCAGAGGAAGGCCCTAAAAATTGTCAAAGACTCCAGCCACCCTAGTCATAGACTGTTCTCTCTGCTACTGCACGGCAAGCGGTACCAGAGCGCCAAGTCTAGGTCCAAAAGGCTTCTTAACAGCTTCTACCCCCAAGCCATAAGACTCCTGAACAGCTAATCATGGCTACCCAGACTATTTGCATTGCCCCTCCACCCCACCCCCACCCCCACCCCCACCCCCCTCTTTTACGCTGCTGCTACTCTGTTTATTATTTATGCATAGTCACTTTAACTCTACCCACATGTACATATTACCTTGACTAACCGGTGCCCCCGCACATTGACTCTGTACCGGTACCCACTGTATATAGCCTCCCTACTGTCATTTTATTTTACTGCTGCTCTTTAATTATTTGCTTTTATTTTTTACTTATCTATTTTTTACTTAACACTTAAAAATATATATATATATATTTTCATAAAACTGCATTGTTGGTTAAGGGCTTGTAAGTAAGCATTTCACTGTAATGTCTACACCTGTTGTATTCGGCGCATGTGGCAAATACAATTTGATTTGATTTGACATTGTATAGAAGCACACTGTCATCCTACAGACCTCTAGACCATATGGTACCCTCTCCTCTCGGCTTCACACTACAGATTCAAGGATCAAAATCTAATATCCTTGATCACATGAGAGGTGTGCTCTCTTAAGCCACAGGGAGAAGGTTCAGAATGGCATGCTGTCATAGACTTACAGCACAGCTCATGGCATGTAGTGTGCATACTGTGTAGTATGTGTCATGAAGCCTATGTTTGGTAGTGTGTGTCATAGATAATGTGATGTGTAGCATGTATATTATAGAAAGTGTGTGTGGTGTAGAATGAGTCGTGCAGCATGCGTCAGACAGCATGCATTGTGGGACTGACTATGTAGGCTACCCAGCGCTGTCTGCCTCAGAGCAGCAGGGCTATTAATAGGTTTGGGCTCCCCAGTCGTTAAAGTTCATTTTCCCCTGCGTCTGAGTACTGATTTAGCAGCAGTGCCCTGTGCAGCCTCCTCTCCTCTGTTCATCACGCCGGGGGAACCGAGGGGAAGCTTTCACTAACACTCTCATATACACCTGAGGACTGGAGGAGCAGGAACCAGCTGTTCCATACACATCCTCCTCAGAGCTCTGCTCCTCTGTTCCTCTCTCTCTACACGTCCCAGGGGGCTAGCATCTGCTAGCCTGTACAGGTGTCTGGCTGCTTGGAGGAGCAATTCCATCGGAGATCAGTTATTAAGCTGCGGTGTGTCAGGCGGATAAATACGATTTCTTGGAGTCTGAGCCAGATCCTGACGCTTAGCTTCAGCAATTCCTTTAGGACCGTGGAGGAACAAATCATAAAAAAACATCAAGGTGCCTCCTTCAGCTATATATAGCATTGTATTCCTTCAGAAAGGATTGGCTCTGGAAAGCAATGTGATGAAATTGTCATCCATTCTTCCAGAAGGCCTACTATGCTATTACTGTGCTTGTATCTGTCCTTTAAGATAGGAAGGATGATGAGATGGGGACAGGAAAGCAATGTTATTGCAAACCAATGTGGCAGTTGTTTGATGATTGTGCTCTGCTTCTGATCTTGAGCGCCATGACATCCATTTAGTCAGATTAGCGCAAGACTCTGCTTTCCTTCCCCCTCTGCTGTTGTTGTTGACTATCCTTTTCCACCTCCATTCTCTCTCTCTCTCTGTAGACAGAGAGAGAGGTAGGATCTGTGTCTAAATGTGTTGTACTGTTATCTCTCTCCCTGAGCCATCCATGAGTTTCCAGAAGATATCTTTACCAAGGAGGAGCTGAAAGGAGGAGCAGTGTTGTTACATGTGCTGTGTGTGAGTGTCCCATAACACACAACGCAGAGAACACACCTGTTTAACACACCTCACAAAACAACCATGATACCATGATACTGCAGTTTTGCGGCCACACCCTTAGTGCAATACCATCTGTTCAGATGCGATCAGACTTCATAATATAATTTATCTGCCAATCACAGTGAAGTACACCTGCCTAAATGAACTGAATTACGTAAACACTTCCTTATCACATCCTTTACGGCCTGTATCTCTATTTTTATCTGTTGCGCTACCTTTTAGGCTATCTACATGTTCTACGCTCTTGCTATTGTCTGTGATGACTACTTTGTCCCTTCCCTGGAGAAAATATCAGAGGTGAGAAAACCAACAGCACCAATTAACTTACAGGATACAAGAAGAGGGAGGCACCATATCCTGCTTTTTATCACTCTATTACTACTTTTAGTTGAACCATTTAAAATAGAAACTTTGTGTAAGACAGGCTGAAGAGGATTTCTGTTATCATGTATTTCTACAAAGATATAGTGCTTCTTGAACAAGTATTCTGATTGTGTGAGAATGTTCCCCCTCCTCTCTCTGTCCCTGTCAGAACCTGCAGCTCAGTGAGGATGTGGCAGGGGCAACCTTCATGGCTGCAGGGAGCTCAGCACCAGAGCTCTTCACCTCTCTCATTGGTCAGTTCTTAATCACTCTGTATTTCACCTCATATTTCCTGATATCAGTGGCCAATATTGTGTCAATGAACACGATCCATTATGCCCAACACTGGATGATACAAATGGCCCATAACTTGGATCTTCAATCCATCCCAATGAACATGTTTGTGTATCATGTAATGCCACAAATATCCATCTGATGTCAGCAGAGTCAATATGAATAGTCTTTCATTCTACATCAAGGTATAAAACGCATTGGGATAACCACTGGTTTCATCCTCTAAAATGTCATTGTCACTACAGCCCCTCCCACGCCTCTCTTTCCATCTCAGGTGTGTTCATCACTAAAGGCGACGTGGGGGTCGGTACCATCGTGGGCTCAGCGGTCTTCAACATCCTGGTCATCATTGGTGTTTGTGGCATCTTTGCGGGCCAGGTACAAACCTTTCAAAGACTACACACCTTTATGGTCTTATCAGTGTGGCTATGGCTGAAGAGCTCATGAATACATGGAAACATATTTTAGAAATTCTCCTACACATGCACTGGCTGAGTGAACCTGAGGACTTCACCTTGATTTAGCTGTGTGTTGGTTGTCTGTTAGTGGAATCTCTCTCTGTGTGTCTCCCCTGCAGACGGTGGTTCTGACATGGTGGTCTCTGTTCAGGGACTCCACCTACTACATCTTCTCTGTGCTGGCTCTCATCATGGTGAGGCAGACAAGGGAGGGAGGAGGGGAAATTAAGACCACACAATTAAATGCATTTAGAGACCAGTATACAGTAGCTTACTTGTGCTCTACAATTATGGTTCTGTATAAACTGCCTGTCCATAGTGAAATGCAGATGTGACTATTTTAATGTGTTAACTTTCTCTTTGTAGGTTATCTACGATGCAAAAGTTGTCTGGTGAGTTTTATCATGATTAATTGATGAACCTATACATAATTTACTTTTCTGCCAAAAGTCTCAATGTTACATGTCAGAATTGTAAAAGTATAGTAAAATAGCAGTTTACTGGTTTTAGGTGGTAGTTGAACTGTTTACTGGTTTTAGGTGGTAGTTGAACTGTGTTTTTCTCTGATTGAGCTGTTTACTGGTTTTAGGTGGTAGTTGAACTGTGTATTTCTCTGATTTAACTGTTTACTGGTTTTAGGTGGTAGTTGAACTGTTTACTGGTTTTAGGTGGTAGTTGAACTGTTTACTAGTTTTAGGTGGTAGTTGAACTGTTTACTGGTTTTATGTGGTAGTTGAACTGTTTACTGGTTTTAGGTGGTAGTTGAACTGTTTACTGGTTTTAGGTGGTAGTTGAACTGTTTACTGGTTTTAGGTGGTAGTTGAATGGTGTATTTCTTTGATTGTAGGTGGGAGGCCGTGCTCCTAATGACCATGTATGGAGTTTACATTCTTATCATGAAGTGAGTACGCTGAGACCCCTCTCACAAGAGTCCTCAAATCACAGAGCATGTAGCTAGTGACGATTGTTGTGTTTCTCATATGACAGATGTTTTGTGGTTTCAGGTTCAACTCCCAGATCAGGGGATGTGTGCAACATCGGTTTGTGGGCCCGGGTCAGTGCTGCCTTGTCAGTGAGGGACTCAGAGATGAGGAGATGGCAGAGGACGGACCCACATGTAACACCAACATGGTGCTGCTCAGGAAAGGTCTGTCTGGACTGGAGCTCCATACAGCTCTCACTGTCTGAGTGTTAGAAGCTGTGACTGTTATTGATTTGTTGTGCTCATGACAAGTCTCACAGTGCATTATAACCGCATCATAATGCATTATACCTGCCTGTCGGCTTTAGGTAAAGTGTTACCCCTCTTCCCATCCCTTACTCACCCTGCAGGCCAACCCCAGGGTCAGGAGTCTCCTCCGGTGGTGATGGTGGACGAGCTCCTGATCCTCAACCCCCACCAGCTGTCCTTCTCTGAGGCCGGCCTGCGCATAATGATCAGCCCCCACTTCTCCCCTCGCACCAGGCTCACCATGGCAGGCCGCGTGCTCATTAGTGAGGTACTGGACTCAGACTGGAGGAACATCAGCAAGGGGTAACATTAGCCACTATGGAGCACTAATGTGCACTCTCTCTCTCTCTCACACAGAGACAAAGGTTGATCAGGGATCCCAACAGCCAGCTGGACGGGGAGGCCAGCCCAGGGGCAGGGGGCACCCCTCTGAAGGGGTTGGGCTCTGGAGGTCTGGAGAATGGGGGCAGTGTGGAGAAGCAGACCCCTGATGGGGCCAGGTTAGGGGATGCAGGGGGGGAGAAGCCAGGAGCGGATGTATGTCACGCTGAGGAAGAGGAGGATGATGATGATGGGCCATTCAGGCCTCTGCATTGGCCAGGTGATATAACGAAATCTGAAAATACTCTTGATACATTCAGTAACATTATAAAATGTGTCTCTAAGTGGCCACTCACCTCTCCAAACTGTGCACAGTTCCTAAGTAATTTCAATGCACTTTTATGACTAAAAGAAGAGTCTTCAACTATAAGGTGCTTTTTTGTGCTCTCCTAGCTGTGCCGTTGAGGAACTAGAGCAAGCACACTGGTAGTTGTTTCATTTGGAACACAACACTGCATCCCCCATCACACAATTACTGTTGTTTACGCAATCCAAAAACGGTTCATTATAAATCGCAATCTATTGACAACATCACTAAGTTATGAAATATGATCTTGTTAGGCTTGTGTCAGGCTTTCACAAGGCAATTCAGAGAAACAGATCGTAATTTTGGTGCCCAATGCCATAGAAAGGTGTCATGACTGCATTCAGTTGCGTGTACCACGGCAAATCTTCTTCCCAATAAACAAACATAGGCTCATTCTGTTCAGAACAACCCAGGTCATCTTGTAACTGTACATCAAACACAGTGATCATAAACATTGACACTGTATATGACGAGTTTTAGGATTTGCACATTTGGACTCACAGGTGTTTGGATTGCTTTTATGACATCAAAGCGGTATTTATTATAATTCTCAACGTCTCATCTTTCAAAATACATTGAGTCATCTTAATATACAGCATTTCCCTCACTCAGACAACAACAAATGTGTAAAAGTTGCCCAATTAGCTGGAGGGATGGGGGGCAACTTCTTGTTGCGCGAGGTGCTCACGTTCAGAATGGCTGTCAGTCAAAACCATACAGCGCTGTGAACCGCATAGCCAGAGCTCTGACGTCATGTATAGCATGTTATCGTACAGCCACTATGTTCCAATTTAAGCGCTTATTAGTGCCCAAATCTGCCATTTTCAACCCGTAAATGGGTATGAGTGTAAAGGGCTACAGACAATTTCCCTGACGTTCGCTGAAATTGCATTTGAGGAAAACACAGTGGATGTCAGCTCTGGTATGTTCTGGTCTGTGACCGACAGTATATTGTTGTTCGTGTGTGTGGCAGGTGGTTGCTGTGCGCGGGTCAAGTGGCTGATCTCGTGGCCCCTGGGCCTGCTGCTGTACTGCACTGTGCCAAACTGTGTGTACCCACGCTGGCACCGCTGGTTCATGGTCACCTTCGTAGCCTCCACCCTGTGGATAGCCATCTTCTCCTACCTCATGGTGTGGATGGTAAGGACCTCATGGTGTGGATGGTAAGGACCTCATGGTGTGGATGGTAAGGACCTCATGGTGTGGATGGTAAGGACCTCATGGTGTGGATGGTAAGGACCTCATGGTGTGGATGGTAAGGGCCCACAGCAGAGCCTTACGGCCGCATGGGAACTTCTCCAGGCCAGGCTTTCTACAAGCTTGAAATGTTCCAGGAATTGTAGGATGGTATTTGAGAGGGTGAGTGTGTGTGGTGTATCTGTCTCTAAACTAGCTATGTGTGCCCACCAGGTCACCATCATCAGCTACACACTAGACATCCCAGACTACATCATGGGGATCACCTTCCTGGCAGCGGGCACCAGCGTGCCAGACTGCATGGCCAGCCTCATTGTAGCTCGGCAAGGTACCCGTCATCCTCTCTTTTCTACTTTCTCTCATCTTCAGACTCCTGACCAGCCTCTTAACATCCTGGTGGTGTAGTGTAGACAGTTGTGCTTTAGTTTGACTTTACTTTCCATTTCTCCTCAGGTATGGGGGACATGGCGGTGTCTAACTCCATTGGCAGTAATATCTTTGACATCCTGTTGGGGCTGGGTTTCCCCTGGGCTCTGCGCACTCTGGTGGTGGACAACGGATCATCGGTGGGTACTCATTTATTAAAACTCTCTATCTCTATGGACATTTAACAATCGTCAACATCTGACCCCTCTAACCCTCCTCTTCCTCACAGGTCTACATCAATAACAAGGGCCTGGTGTATTCTGTTGTCCTGCTGTTGGCCTCTGTCTTCCTCACAGTAAGTGTGTGTGCATAAGTTCGTGCCTCCATGGAGTTCACCATGAGTTACTCTTGCACTGGACATCTGGTTCTGAGCATCATTTAACCACATAACAGTCCATACCACACAGTACGATCATAGTTTTACTGGTATTAAGCTTTTTACAAGACATTTGTTATTGACCACAAGCAGAATGGCGACAGGCAGAGCACAGTATAGTACAGTCTTTCTGGAGCAGGGTGTGGTTCCATCTACTGTTCCGGTGTTATGATAATGATGGTTTGTACCATTGTGGCTACCATTACAGCTCCATCTAGTTGTCGCGTCGTGGATTAAAGTTGTTGACAACTGTAGCATTTTAGCTAAGCCTAACTAACCCTTTTCCTTACCTATACATCAGTCTCCTAACCTGCCACGTTAGACCTCCTAACCTGCCACATCAGTCTCCTAACCTGCCACGTTAGTTCTCCTAACCTGCCACATCAGTCTCCTAACCTGCCACGTTAGTTCTCCTAACCTGCCACGTTAGTTCTCCTAACCTGCCACGTTAGTTCTCCTAACCTGCCACGTTAGTTCTCCTAACCTGCCACGTTAGACCTCCTAACCTGCCACGTTAGTTCTCCTAACCTGCCACGTTAGTTCTCCTAACCTGCCACATCAGTCTCCTAACCTGCCACGTTAGTTCTCCTAACCTGCCACATCAGTCTCCTAACCTGCCACGTTAGTTCTCCTAACCTGCCACATCAGTCTCCTAACCTGCCACGTTAGTTCTCCTAACCTGCCACGTTAGTTCTCCTAACCTGCCACATCAGTCTCCTAACCTGCCACGTTAGTTCTCCTAACCTGCCACGTTAGTTCTCCTAACCTGCCACGTTAGTTCTCCTAACCTGCCACATCAGTCTCCTAACCTGCCACGTTAGTTCTCCTAACCTGCCACGTTAGTTCTCCTAACCTGCCACATCAGTCTCCTAACCTGCCACGTTAGTTCTCCTAACCTGCCACGTTAGTTCTCCTAACCTGCCACGTTAGTTCTCCTAACCTGCCACATCAGTCTCCTAACCTGCCACGTTAGTTCTCCTAACCTGCCACGTTAGTTCTCCTAACCTGCCACATCAGTCTCCTAACCTGCCACATCAGTCTCCTAACCTGCCACGTTAGTTCTCCTAACCTGCCACATCAGTCTCCTAACCTGCCACGTTAGTTCTCCTAACCTGCCACGTTAGTTCTCCTAACCTGCCACGTTAGTTCTCCTAACCTGCCACGTTAGTTCTCCTAACCTGCCACGTTAGACCTCCTAACCTGCCACGTTAGTTCTCCTAACCTGCCACGTTAGTTCTCCTAACCTGCCACATCAGTCTCCTAACCTGCCACGTTAGTTCTCCTAACCTGCCACATCAGTCTCCTAACCTGCCACGTTAGTTCTCCTAACCTGCCACATCAGTCTCCTAACCTGCCACGTTAGTTCTCCTAACCTGCCACGTTAGTTCTCCTAACCTGCCACATCAGTCTCCTAACCTGCCACGTTAGTTCTCCTAACCTGCCACGTTAGTTCTCCTAACCTGCCACGTTAGTTCTCCTAACCTGCCACATCAGTCTCCTAACCTGCCACGTTAGTTCTCCTAACCTGCCACGTTAGTTCTCCTAACCTGCCACATCAGTCTCCTAACCTGCCACGTTAGTTCTCCTAACCTGCCACGTTAGTTCTCCTAACCTGCCACGTTAGTTCTCCTAACCTGCCACATCAGTCTCCTAACCTGCCACGTTAGTTCTCCTAACCTGCCACGTTAGTTCTCCTAACCTGCCATGTTAGTTCTCCTAACCTGCTATTTAAACAAACCACCAGTGCCGACAAACCATCAGTATCACAACACCAGTGCTAGACAAGTTAAATTGTGTGGCTCCATCTATTACTCAATCACCCAGTCATAGCCAAGCTAGTCCTCTCTCTTTACCTCATGCAACCTTTCTTTCCAATTTCCACTCAACCCCTGTTCTCTCTTCACCTCCCCCTCTTCCCTATCAGGTCATGAGTGTCCATCTGAACCACTGGAAGCTGGACCGCCGGCTGGGCCTGGGGCTTATATTACTCTATGCCATCTTCCTGCTCTGCTCCATCTTCTTTGGGCAGATGTGAGGCTGACGATGGGGTCAAAGGCCAACCCTGATTTGCCTTCCTGTCAGCTGCCATGTCCAGGAGTCCTCTGTCTCCCTGAGATACTCTGTCCTAAAGCCAAAAAAAAAACAGCCTCAGCTACATTGTGCTAAAGTTAACGTGATGTACCACAAACAGGATATGCTTGGGTGACATTGCACACAAACACACACACACACACATTTTACTATCCTTGTGGGGACCTACAATTGATTTCCATTCCAAATCCAATTTTCCCTAACCCCTGCCTTAACCCTAAAATAGCCTTTGTCGACAAGGGAGATTTTCCTTGTTTTACTATCCTTGTGGGGACTTTGGGGGATATCTGGTACCCACGAGGATAGTCACACACACACACACACGTTATGTTCTTCTATCCTTGTGGGGACCTAAAATTCATTTCCATTCAAAATACTATCTTCCCTAACCCTAACTCCTAACCCTAAACCAACCACTAACCACTTACCCGTACCCTAGCCCTAATTCTAACCTTAATTGTAACCCTAACCCTAAACCTAAGCTTAAAATAGCCTTTGTCCTCATGGGGACGTGGGAAATGTCCACACGGGGAGAATATTCCTTGTTTCACTATCCTTGTGGGGACTTTTGGAGATTGTAGGTCCCCACAAGGATATAAGAATCAACCCACATACACACACACACACACACACACACAGCAGTCTTTTCTATAGCACAAACCTTTTTCATCCGAAGTTTGGTGTTTTAATACATAGCAACACCTAATGTTCAGCAGTGACCAATGGGAAAAATAATACAGTAGACTAATCCTGGTTTCTTGACCATACGTTTGGAACACCCGTGTTTGTTTTGAATGTACGCCCTAGCTGATGTTACCTTGTTGTGTGGTGATACCGTGTGTACATTTGTGCAAATGTGTAGCAGTGCTGGGGTACAGTGGAGCATAGAACTGTCAGTAAGGTACTATGAACGAAGCAATAAGAAAAAATAGACGGCGTTAATGTGTAATAGACTTATAATAGAGGAAGTATTCGTAAGAGATGCAGATTATTATGTGACTAGAATTTGTAAAGTGACTGATCTAGTTCCTCCAAAGAGGATTTATGAATAATTTTTTGCCTCACTGCTTTTGAACAAGTACTGTTACAAACTAAGTAAATAATAGGCTAACGTGAAATCTACGATTTTTAGCATTTTTAGAAGTGTTATTACTATTGACTACATGTTTCTATGAGTGTCACAACCTTTGATAACATGCGTACGGGTCTGTTGTAATAGTTCACTACGTTTGGGGACGATCAGTGTTTGTATTACTGTACAATGATTATTAGGTCTACAAGAGCATACTTTTTACTGTTTCTAAATGTTTACTAAATATTTTACATAGTTTTACAAAAAATTAATGTCAGACAGACTAGACTTGTGGTGTTTTTGATATAAGAACTAAATAACATATTCTTCCCATGGTATTTGTGAGAATATCTTATACTGTAACTGAAAAAGTATGTATATTTGTGTCACTTTGTATAGTGATACTAAAGACTGACACTTCAGATCAGCACACTCCACCTAGATCTGATGAAAGGAGAATAAGGTTATATCGAATTATGTCACTTTCTAAACCACTATTCTATTTAAACCAGCTTAGATCCTATTTAGCACTGAACCACCTTGATTTAGTATCGTTATTTATTATTTCCAAGAGATTTTATATATTTCCTCTGTCAAGTGCTTGTGATTACAATACTTATTGGTTTGCTCTGCAAAATAGTATATTCTGAAAAACAAATAGGTATTTATTTACATAATTATTTCCTGAAATAATTTAGATTTCAGATCAGATCAAATGACTCAAACTTTTTTGCCAAATGAAAGGACTGCAGAATATACTCTTTATGTGATCGAACTATTACACTGAACAAAAATATAAATGCAACATGCAACAATTTCAACGATTTTACTGAGTTACAGTTCATATAAGGAAAATGAAATAAATATTATGTATTATTATTATTATAAATTAGGCCCTAATCTATGGATTTCACATGACAATCAGAAAACGTTTTCCACCACAAAAGGGCTTTATTACAGACAGGAACATTCCTCAGTTTCATCAGCTGTCTGGGTGGCTGGACTCAGACGATCCTGCAGGTGAAGAAGCCAGATGCGGAGGTCCTGGGCTGGTGTGGTTACACGTGGTCTGCGGTTGTGAGGCCGGTTGGACATACCGCAAAATTCTCTAAAGCGACGTTGGAGGCAGCTTATGGTAGAGAAATGAACATTAAATGATCTGGCAACAGCTCTGGTGGACATTCCTGCAGTCAGTGTGCAAATTGCACACTCCCTCAAAACTTAAGACATCTGCGGCATTGTGTTGTGTGACAGAACTGCACAATTTAGTTGCCTTTTATTGGCCCCAGCACAAGATGCACCTGTGTAATGATCATGCTGTTTTAATCAGCTTCTTGATATGCCACACCTGTTAGGTGGATGGATTATCTGGGCAAAGCAGAAATGCTTACTAACAGGGATGTAAACAAATTAGTTCACAAAATGAGAGAAATAAGCTTTTTGTGAGTATGGAACATTTCTGGGATCTTTTATTTCAGCTTTTGAAGCATGGGACCAACACTTTACATGTTGCGTTTATATATTTGTTCAGTACAGTTGTGCTATTTGATTTCAGACACTCAACATTTTAAACATTTCAATTGAGGCTCATATGTTTAATAGGAGTAGAGACTGTGGAGTTGTACAGGCTGGTTCCTGGTGCTGCTAAGTATCCCAGGTTTGTCACCTGTCGTATGTCCAGTGTAGTCCTTTATTAAGTACCTACTGAGATAGGAAGACCACCAATGAGTCCCCACTAACCAACCAACCAGTCATAAATCCTGCCTCTGTTAGCAGAGCAGGTCAGAGCACCAAATAAAACCCTGATTTAGTTCACACATGAAAGAGTTGTGTTTGAAGTGTGTTGTTCCTTAATGTTTTAATCTGTTAGGTTGGAGCCGCCAGATATTCTAGACCTGAGATTTGTTTCTTTAGACATGATCTCTGATCATTGAGAACTTTTGTATGTTGTTGAGTGCAATAAATAAAATCTGTGCAATAACAATCTGTCTCTCTCCTTAAGTCCTTAAGGTACTGTACATACAGCTGGTAAGCTCTGATAAGTGATTGGTGGGGCCCACTGGGCACAGATGTCAATTCAACGTCTATTCCCCGTTGGATCGACATAATTTCATTGAAATTGATTCAACCAGTGTGTGCCCAGTGGGAAGACAACAGGGGAAACAGTCCCAGTGTCTACCTCTGCCTTTCACTGACTCCATACCTGTCGTTTACTCATTAACCCGAGGAGCTGCAGTAAGCTGTTACTAGCCTGTTAGCCTCTCAAAGCAAACACATCCTTCTGATAAGTGCCCAGAGAGAACAATGCAGACAGCAACCTATCTCTGCTTAGCATATGCTACACACACTGCCATCTACTCATATACAGTACATGCACACATGCTGCAAGTACATACGCAAACACACACATTTCCCATCGCAGTCCTAATGATGAACATATTGGGGACTGAAACCCCCATTTCCTTATCTTCATTTGGATCCACAGATGAGAGGCTGGGGATAGACAAAGTAAATGGAAAATAACTAGTTAATTAAGTAATCCCAGTTATGGGGCGGCAGGTAGCTTAGTGGTTAAGAGCGTTGTGCCAGTAACCGAAAGGTCGCTGGTTCTAATCCCCAAGCCGACTAGGTGAAAAATCTGTCGATGTGCCCTTGAGCAAGGCACTTAACCCTAATTGCTCCTGTAAGTCGCTCTGGATAAGAGCGTCTGCTAAATGACTAAAATGTAAATAACAACAGACAGAATTTTTTGAACATGTCCAGTGTGATATGGCATCATCCAATAAATACAGTGTTCCTGGTGCTGTCAGTGTTTTGTGACAATTGTCAAAATTACCGTGTACATTGCAAATACTTGACAGAGATGCATTTCGTAGAATCACACGAGGAATTGAAAATTCCACCAGAGAAATGTGAGAATATCCTGTGTAAATCAAGTGTTGTAGGTTACTTGTATCTTGTACAACAATGCAACACACTGTTCCATGTGATCAAAGCACAATAAAGTCTATAGACAATCACTCTCTCAGGCACCAAACACAGTAGATGAAAGGGTTGTAAAAGTCATTTAATCTCTGTCATTGGGCCAGCCCGAGCTGTGGCTGTGTAATATACAGTTGAAGTCGGAAGTTTACATACACTTAGGTTGGAGTCATTAAAACTCGTTTTTCAACCACTCCACAAATGTCTTGTTAACAAACTATAGTTTTGGCAAGTCTGTTAGGACATCTACTTTGTGCATGACGTGAGTAATTTTTCCAACAATTGTTTACAGACAGATTATTTCACTTATAATTCACTGTATCACAATTCCAGTGGGTCAGAAATTTACAAACACTAAGTTGATTGTGCCTTTAATCAGCTTGGAAAATTCCAGAAAATTATGTCATGGCTTTAGAAGCTTCTGATAAGCTAATTGACATCATTTGAGTCAATTGGAGGTGTACCTGTGGATGTATTTCAAGGCCTACCTTCAAACTCAGTGCCTCTTTGCTTGACATCATGGGAAAATCAAAATAAATCAGCCAAGACCTCAGAAAAAGAATTGTAGACCTCCACAAGTCTGGTTCATCCTTGGGAGCAATTTCCAAACGCCTGAAGATACCACGTTCATCTGTACAAACAATAGTACGCAAGTATAAACACCATGGGACCACGCAGCCGTCATACCGCTCAGGAAGGTTATTATTAGAGATAATAATAATAATATGCCATTTAGCAGACGCTTTTATCCAAAGCGACTTACAGTCATGTGTGCATACATTTTTACGTATGGGTGGTCCCGGGGATCGAACCCACTACCCTGGCGTTACAAGCGCCATGCTCTACCAATTGAGCTACAGAGGACTTTGGTGCGAAAAGTGCAAATCAATCCCAGAACAACAGCAAAGGACCTTGTGAAGATGCTGGAGGAAACAGGTACAAAAGTATCTATATCCACAGTAAAACGAGTCCTATATCGACAGAACCTGAAAGGCAGCTCAGCAAGGAAGAAGCCACTGCTCCAAAACCGCCATAAAAAACCCAGACTACGGTTTGCAACTGCACATGGGGACAAAGATCATACTTTTTGGAGAAATGTCCTCTGGTCTGATGAAACACGAATATAACTGTTTGGCCATAATGACCATGGTTATGTTTGGAGGGAAAAGGGGGTAGCTTGCAAGCTGAAGAACACCATCCCAAACGTGAAGCACGGGGGTGACTGCATCATGCTGTGGGGGTGCTTTGCTGCAGGAGGGACTGGTGCACTTCACAAAATAGATGGCATCATGAGGAAGGAAAATTATGTGGATATATTGAAGCAACATCTCAAGACATCAGTCAGGAAGTTAAAGCTTGGTCGCAAATGGGTCTTCCAAATGGACAATGACCCCAATCATACTTCCAAAGTTGTGGCAAAATGGCTTAAGGACAACAAAGTCAAGGTATTGGAGTGGCCATCACAAAGCCCTGACCTCAAACCTATAGAACATATTTTTGCAGAACTGAAAAAGCGTGTCCGAGCAAGGAGGCCTACAAACCTGACTCAGTTACACCAGCTCTGTCAGGAGGAATGGGCCAAAATTCACCCAACTTATTGTGAGAAGCTTCTGGAAGGCTACCTGAAACGTTTGACCCAAGTTAAACAATTTAAAGGCAATGCTACCAAATACTAATTTAGTGTATGTAAACTTCTGACCCACTGGGAATGTGATGAAATAAATAAAAGCTGAAATAAATAATTCTCTCTACTATTATTCTGACATTTCACATTCTTAATATAAAGTGGTGATCCTAACTGACTTAAGACAGGGAATTTTTACTAGGATTAAATATCAGGAATTGTGAAAAACTGAGTTCAAATGTATTTGGCTAAGGTGTATGTAAACTTCCGACTTCAACTGTAACAGCCAATCAGATCCCACTGCGCCAGCACTCACAGCTCACAACAACATACAACTGTATGAATATGGTGTTGCAAATCACACGGCAGAAAACAAGTACAGAGAAAATATTAATTGAAAGATGATCTAGGGTTCGGATTTGAAATTCTGAATTACAGACATGCAGAGTGGTGAACAGACTTACAGTTTAACCCAACTATACTAAATATAATACTCTTATTTATCATCATGTGTGTGAGCCCAATCAAGATTTCCAGGGTGATTACTTTGCCCTGCACTTTAATTAACATGTGTAAACGTTGAGAAGTGTTTATCTAAATGTGCTCATTTACTGGAGTACAGGAAGTAAGTTGAAGGAAATTATTTGTGAGGTGGTAGCTGGATGTCAGCTGCTTGAATTTGTACAGTAGCCTGCTTGACACATTATGTAGGCTACACGTGTTGTGGCAGGAACCTCTGGTTACATTTGTTTCTTCTGTACTCTTCATTTAGTCTCTTCTAAGAACATACCATGCCTCACCTTATCTACTAAGAACACACCATGCCTCACCTTATCTTCTAAGAACACACCATGCCTCACCTTATCTTCTAAGAACACACCATGTCTCACCTTATCTTCTAAGAACACACCATGTCTCACCTTATCTTCTAAGAACACACCATGCCTCACCTTAGGACCAAGCCATTTGAGGAGCAATAATTCATATGCATAATAAAATCTACACGCATGAACAGCAAGGTTGACCAAAATAGACACCGGCGGTAAAGTTTCTGTCATTGGATGGCCCATGATTAGTAACTACTTTTTTATACTGTACCTTTACGACTTCAACCACAAGGGATCGACCATCGCATGAACCTGTTGTTTTATTATGGGTATATGGACACCATCCAATATAAGTGTAAGTGTTGAT